TCAAAAACTGGTTCTCCGAACAGCAATCCCAAGAAATCAATGGCTTTTGCTTCAATAGGTACTGGAATCTTTAAACCATGAGAGTCAGAAAAGGGTGCAGAAAAGCGTGCAGGTCTCTTGACCATTCAGGTTCATCACTTGCGGTCGACTCGTCACTTTCGCTTTCACTGTCTTCAGACTCACTTTCACCGCTTTCCTCCTCAGAAAATTCTTCCACTTCGATGTCAGATAAGTCAGCATCAACATTCACATCGCTAAAACTTAAATTACTATCACTATCATGGTCAGAACCAAAAAGCGCATCTTATTCTTCTTGTGTTACTTCAATTTGAGCATAGCGCCGGGCAGCCATACTGGTAAACAAACGCAAAATACAAGTCTAAAGCACATTCAAAACTACTGAATATTTACATATTATAACTAGCTCAGTAAACCTCTTTTATAAGCAAATAGACAATAGAAGGAAATGCTCAACCCTCTGGATTTAGGTGTGTTTTATGGCGTAAGAGAAATCCTGTATACAATTCCGTTGGTGCGTAGGTTCACGCATGTACGTCTTCATAGTGAAGCCAAACTTCGGACCTTCACTACTCGACCCAGGCAATAGTTTTGCATGCGCAGTTGGTGTGATTTGATTGGTTTATACCTGCCCTTAACAATCGAACAATAAGTATTGACAAAGAAGGCCTTACTGGGGGTATACAGTACATTTTTTTGTACCCTTTTCTATTGGCCGCTTTTGGCCGCTCTAGGAAAAAATTGGCCATTTCTGGTTGGCCACTTTTGACCGCTTTAGTAGTGAAAGGGTTAAGCATATTCTTTTGCATATAATAATCCTCCAGTTGTTCCTCTATACTCGGTGTGCAAAGAAAGTAGTGTCCGATAGCCTGGGGCTAGTGGATTTTGCTATCGGGCTAGTGAATTCTGTAATTAACTTGCTCGACGGGCAAGTGAATTTTTTTGAGGAATTCAAATTACAGAAGAACTAAGAAATCAGTTTGCTCATCAAAACGTTTTTGGGGCCACTTGAAATGATGTTTGGGCTAGTAAATGTTAGCTTTAGCTTGCTTGAATGGCAAGCTGTAAAAATGACTTTCTTTGCACCGTGAATTACTTCTTAATTACACATCTAACGCTTAACTTCTTTGTGTGGTTCCTGGTAGTTTTTCTCATATCTGACTGTTTTGATTACAAGTGAGGCTTCATTTTTCATCCAGATTTACGACCCATTTATGGTATAAGGTGGATCCAAACTTGGTGAGAGAATTGAAAGAAAAATAATACAGCGTTACAGTTAATTATCTTAAGCAGAGAGTCATGTAGACCATCTCAGGGGTCACCAAGACCACGTGCTAATCTTTTTCGTTATATTTAACTACAAATACTTATTTGTCATCTGTTGGGTCAGGAAGCCTTCTTAGTTGGGTAATTGACCCGAAACCCTCCTCTTATCTGGAACATAGACATTGCTGAGTAAGACTGAGAGTGAAGCCATTTTTAAAGGGCAGGAAAACATGGAAGCGCCAAAGAGCGATTTTCCTTGTCCTTTTGGAATGTGACACCTAATAGAGTAAGACTGTCATTTTGTTCCATGCCACATAGTGGGGAAAAGTTAGGTGTGACACCTTTTTTAGCCATACAGAGTTCTTGTCATGGCAATAAGCTTTGAATAAATGAGAAATCATGTTTTCAAAGGGACCAAATGAAAATATTTGATGAAAGAGAGCTGTTGACCTGGTTAGTGACTTGTTTCCAAATCTAACTGTCTTTTGGTGAAAACTGCTGGGCAGTGAAATCATTATTGGCTGTGAGAGTTTATTGCACCATGGGCTGGGCAATAGTGCTTTGACATATGGAAACAAGTCAAATTTGTTGACCTTATAAAGCTGTCTGTTTTGGTTTACCTCCCATTTGAAATGTGCTGTAACCTTGCGATTTTACCAAGTACTGTCTAAAAATGATATTTATAAGCATAAGTACTTGTGCTAAAGAACAATAGAAATGCTACAGTAATTGACAAACTGTATTTATAAGCTTGATAAAAACCCAAAGACTCAGCATTCCTCCCAAAGCCCTCTTAGAGATCAATCACTCCATGGTTGAATAATGCAAAGTGACATTTTCTTTTACTTTTTTTAAAAGCTTCTTCCTGCCCAGAAAAGGTCTGAGGTGGAAGCATTGTGCATTTGTACAAAAAACCTGCAAGAATTTTTGCTTGAACTTTGTACATTACACTTGCCATTACAGTGTTCTTTCTAGTGCGCAATTTGATACTTCTGTGCACAATCAGTAGCAGCTTTCCCTTGATTCGCGAGCCCTCAATGGGTTCCGCTGACTCTCATGGATTTCTCCCAATGCAATCAGTCTGTTGACGGTCCATTATTTGAAGCCCTGTCTTTTATGCAAAATCTTTATGCAAAATGCACACAGTGGATCTGGTTAAAAATCTATGTTGGTATTAGTTGTTGGTTCCTGAGTAGTGCAATCACAACAAGAGAACTGTTTACATCATATGTTACTGTAATGTTTTCAGCAAATAGCACTTGACCCATTTTCATCCATCCTTGATATGCAATGCTGTAATGTTTTTGACAAAATTTCATCTCCACCTTCCCTAATTTGAGAGAGATTTCTTTCTTGTCTGAAGTAAGAACTGAAATGGTACAGAAGTATCCCACTTGACACTTGTCAGCCATAATGTCTGTTTTGCTTCATTGTTTATCATCACATTGGTACATGTTTACTTTGATATTTTAAGCCTTGTATTAGCGGAGCACCATGGGTAAGTAAATCTACCCATCCCAGAAAATTTGTTAGTCACGTGATCGTACACCGCCCGCCCGCCCGTCCGCACCACAGGGCAACCAATGTTCACTCATACTTTCTAGCTAGTTTGGAAGCACAGGAAGACTGATATTGCACACATATTGCACATCAACGTTGTGATCAATTGACAGCTGTCAAAACAGGGTATCCGCTGACCAGTATCACCTGACCGTATCGCGGGCTCAGTTGTCGACCTATCGAGGTCGAGTATCTTTTTGAAGTTATCCGCTGACAAGTTACTAGTTTTCAAATGATTGCAGGCTCAAGTTCAATTTTTTTTAATTCATGTGAAAGATGTTGTGTTTTATATGTGCCGCACAATGAAAATTTTAATTTCAAACTGACCTCGGAAGCTAAAATTCAGCCAGTTTTTACAGGCAGGGAAGACATGCCAGTTGCTTTTGACTTTTCTCACCATGGTCACGCGTTGGTCACGCTCTATGTCCAATTTTTATACTCTGATTGGTTAAAATTTGACAGGTGAGTTCGTGCGGAAAATTTATGCAGCATCTTGAAACTTGTTTACTTTCACAGCTGTAGCTGACAGAGTTTTTTCCACTGAATGTACAAAGTGAAATTCAGCTGCTATCAAGAGTCTTCTGTTATTCATGGCTAGTTTGTTTATTGGGTTTTTGGTTGAGAAATACGTTGCTTTGGCAAAGTCGGAAACCCGATTTCGGATGGCATCATTTTCGTTATTCACCTTGCTTGATGCAAAAGACGGTTGAAAAGTCTGAAGCGATTCTGGCCTTACTTGATAGTTTTCAGTGCATCTCGAATGGTAAGCCTGAGTAATTATTGTATTTGAAGTTTGTTGTTGTATCTAATTTAATGAAGTCGAGCGTAGTTTATGCGGCTATTTGGTTTATGCACGTTTGTAAGATTTGAGACAATGATCTGACCGAGTATCAGGTTTGATTTTAGAACTTTAAAAAGCCTTTAGACATTTTCTCACCGCAAAGAGAAAGAAAACATTCCAAAGAATATTGAGTTATAGTTCTGGCTGTAAAAGAAAGCTTTGAGCGATTTTCTTGCCTTGAGTTCATCTTTGAAAAAAGCAAACACCGGGAAGCCGGCTTAAAACGTAAACAAGGATTTTCACAGACACTTTAATACTTGTCTTCGTGAATGAAAATTGTTGTCTTTGTATATGTTTCACCAAATTATTTTCCTTTTATTGAATGTTAGTAGTCTCTTAATCGTTGTGCCATTTGTTTTCAGTCGCTCATGAACATTGCTTGCAGGAGTAGTCAAAATGCCGCGCGTATCAAATGCTTTTGAAGATTACACATCGTTATAAATCCATTTAATAAAAAATAAACTTAATAAATTCTTTATTATGTTGAAGCGTATAACTCTATTAATTTTAATTTAAACAGTCGACTTTGGCGCTTGTTAAAAGTGAGAACCGGCTAGCCGTATAGGTGATTTTGGAAATTTTTTTAACGGTTTCGCTAAAAGCCCATGAGTGCTTCGATCGTCCTTAATATTGAACGAGTGCAATTTGTATTGCAAAATTGTGAAATACTGCATTCTGTCCGAGGTCCGTATGATAAAAATAGCGCCTCATGGTACTGTTTCACCTCAGATGTGATGTATAAAAAGTATAAAAGGTTGGTTTACAGGTCCCCAGACTTGTTGGCAAGATTTTGTAAAGTAAACTTGTCAAACGCTAAAAATTCGGCCTGATTTGTTTTCCAGGCCTAATCTACTGTGATCAAGAGCCATTATGGCTCTTAAATGTGGTCGAAGATGATTGCTATTTTTTGGGTGTACATATAAGGCTATCAACTCGATGTAAGATTAAGTTCACTCTTAGATGGACTGTTCGCAAATTATTTTTCTCTAAAATCACTTAGCCTTTCCCTCAAAAGTCACCTGAATGTGCTCTTAAGTTAACTGATTTGTGAAATACAAGTTTATTGCTTGATTTAAATTACAAATTTGAATTAATAGGAGCTTCACTTTTAGCCCTGGCTAAATCTATATTTTAAGCCTTGTATTATTGGAGTTAGGTAGATTGATGTTATCTGTCTGTCTCACGATGATTTGACTGCCACGCTGCTAGTTTCCTTCAGGTGATGAAGCCAATTCTGTAAATTGTTTACGTCGAGAGTAGGACGTGGAAAATGTATGTAAACATGCTGGTTGTAAAGACTGAGAAAATGGTCTCTTTATGAAAACATAAACCTGCTATTGAATGGAATAGCACGACCAAATGTGGACACCCTTCCAAGCAGGAAGTTTGCTTCCCCATCCAAAGTGGCGACCCTTTGAGATCCTTCTCTGACTTGGTCTTCGATTTCTTCTTCTTCTGCACTGCTACCTGTATCATATTCATCTTCATTGTCAGGAGGGCCGACATCTGCTGTTAGGACAATGCTTTGCCCTGGTACAATGTCTTTTTCGTACAAGAAATTGGGGAGCGTTCCAGCCCTACCCGTGGTTGTTTCTTGTTGGACAGTTCTTTGATGAACTGCAGCCCCAAAGGTATGTGCCCATTCCTTCATAAGCTGGGTGTCTTGAGCACTTATTATCCCAGGTGGAAGTTGTGGTCTTTGGGTTGATATAGTAAAATGCTGCCCAGTTTGCGGTCTTCTTTATACTCTCCTTGACAGCGTTTCCAAAATTCTTGACGTATTCAAGGACACTGCATAAAGGTGATTTGTGATGGACCACAGCATGACAGTTCTCTACATCTAATGTCATGCATTCGTCAACAAAACAGGAATCAGCGCAGATCAATGCAGGATCTTAATGAAGGTGACTTCTAACCTCAGTGATTTGATACCTCTTTCCAAGTGACAAAAACGACAAAAATAGTGAAACTGGAAAAGACAAACAACACATGGGCAAAATGTGAGAGGCTTCACTGCCTTTCACACTCATAGCTTGAATACATAAACGGTATACACACTAAAGACCCATTTTTTTTCAATCAGGGCTAATAAATTTTTAGTCAAGACAAAATCCTTGTTCCCCTGTGATTCCTGCATCCCATCCCCATAAAAATAGGAAATTCCGTTTCCACTGGTTATTAAAATTCCCACATCCCACTCCTGTTTTCAGCTGGCGTCTTGAGTATCGCCACAAAAAATAGCCAAATCGCGCATTCGACAAACCTATTGTCGACCCTCTATCAAGGGTATATTATGTATGTCCAAAAAGACATGTCCCCACTACTGAGCACATAGCACATTTTCTTCCCTTTGCTCAGCATTTTTGTCAGTGGTTGTGTGAAAGGGTCTGAAAAAGAATAATGTTAACTGCTGACCTGAATGTTTGTTTGTGAAGTATTGAAAGAAGCTGCTATGATAGTTCTGAGTACCTTGCCAGATCACTCACATTTTTACAGTATTTAATTATTGTTTAAGGCAAGAATAGCAACAAGAGAGAAGTTATAAAGCGTTAAAGTTCTTAAATTGTGAAAGTACATTTTTGTGTTAATATCCAGTATGGCCTCTGGTTGCTGGTTTGTGTTGGGCTTGGCTTTCAAAGGGTTAAGAATGTCCAGTTGCTCATCTTTGATGGGTTTTATTAAGTTGCGCATGGTTTTCAAAGGTTTTTCTTCTTGACCAGGCATAGACTTGTATGGAATCAAGACATACGAATTGCCAACCTCTACTTTCTCAATGTGTGACTCCCACAGGTCAACAGAAATCGTCGCAGTTTTGTCAACAAATATTGAATTTGACAAGTTTAGTTTCTTCTGTCCAACAGTAGTTGTTGCATACTTTTTCATGATTTTTCCTTCTACTGTCACCAAGTCCTATCCTATTTTTGGAAATCAAGACTTCTAGTACTGATAAGGGGTTCTCTTTGTCAGGTTGAGGTTCATATTCCAAGGGCTGTGGAATGGAAACCAGTGTCATGTTGTTAATGACAATCTTGCTTCTGTCTTCATTGATGGATGTGTGCAATAAAAAAAGATAAAAATTTCCATCTTTAAGGTAGAGTTACTTCCGTTCATCAACTGGGAGTAATGCCCAAATGTGGGCAGAATGCGCATTTTGCTATAGTGCACAATCAAACATAATTTCTGCATAAAAGTAACTCTTTCAATAATGATAAGTTTTCAGCCACAGTAAGCCCATTCTTCGATAAAGTATCACTGTGTATTATACTTTTGTAAGCTTACACTAAATGTTAGCATTGTTTTAGCTGTTTAATTTACCACTGATCATTAGGTCCAAACTACAGGCATACAGTGTGTGAGGGGGAAAAGGAGCCCACACACAGGGAACAAAAACTGTTGCAAGATGATAGCTGTCATTAAAGCATACATGCAGTGACCACTGTCTTTGTATCTTGTAGATTGTTTACTAAATTCATTCATGAGAGTCTTTGAAGGAGAGTGTGGAAAAAGAGTAAGTGACTGTTGATAAAGTGCTAGATTCTTTATTTGCATATGAAACAAAAGGAGTATTTAACATTATGTTGAAAGTGACTCACAGGACAAACAGTTAAACTTGCACACAGTACAGTGTACCTGACATTCATTACTGTTGTTTACTTGATGTGTCTCATGAAAACGTTTTACAGATGCAAATTAAATAGATTGATTTAAGAAATAAGAGACCAGTTTTTGGTGAAGTTTAGCCCAGAAAACAGGGTTGAAGGGGATCCTTTGTACTTAAAGGCCTCAAGTAGTGCAAACAACAAAAATTGCACTATTTCATACACATTGTAGTTATGGACATTTAGTGGTCAATGCCGCCAAAATCCACAACTCTTGTGTATCAGAAGTGGCTCCAGTAATTGTACTGGCTTTTGAAACCACAAATACATAAGGAAGAACCTTAAGAGCGGATGTCAGTAAATATCGACCAGAGGTCTACAAAAGTGACAAATCGAAAATTCTCAAAAAAATGCACAAAGTTGCACTAGCTAAGCTATTAACATAAATGTAATTTTTACTTCGATCCGATAATTATTTTCCACGTACGGGGGGGTTATTGGTTTTGCGGCTCTTGGACCGGGTTTTTTCAGGCCCGAGACCATGTGTCACAAAAAAATTGTTTTAAAATTCAAATCCATTGTAATGCGGGCAACAAATAACTTATTCAGAAGAGTACATAATTGCACACATTTTAAGTGGTGAATTACTCAGTTTGAACGAAAATGTAATATTTTGGAGATTTTTCATTATTTTCAATATTTTGAACGTTTTCGTTCAATGAAAAAATGGCAAATTTCAGAGCCCAAATTGCCAATATCATCGACTGGTACCTCGATTGATTATTTTTCTCACCAAGTATTGGTATGTAGTCAAGAGGCGCAGAAGTGTCAAAATTTGATTCGGAAAGGGCCACTCGCTAGGATAGAAATAAACCAACTAACTTTCCAAATTTTTTCTCTTCATGTTTTGGTGGGGTTTGCCTGAGTGTACTGTTTACTGGCCACTTGGAGAGACCCATATTGGGATTGATTCTTAAATTCCTGCTCTGCTGATTCACTGTGATAAGTGTTCCTTGTGGCAGCACACAAAAGGTTGTTAATGCCAGATCTGGATTCATTGACCTTTGCGTTATTGACATCAATTTCTGTTACTGGTTGCTATGCAGTGTGTTTCTCTCCATCTTTCTTGTGCCATTGCGGTAACTGGGACGTGCACATGTATAGGTCAAGGTTGTTGATCCTGTTCCTTGCACAAATCTTTGGTAGAAGTACAGCTATAGAAAGCAAACTTACATATCTTAATATCAATGCCAGCACGTGGTTATGGAATCCCAATCTTCCAGCTAAACAGGAGCAACAAGCACTCTTAACCTCTCCAGTCAAAATACACAAGGTAATTTCCAGATTGTGGTGAGTCACTTTCTGGAGCGATGACAGCACTTGCCAGTGGAAAAAAAAATTGGATCACTGGCACATTCAATATCTTTGAGATGCTGGTGATAAAGGAAATGTCTAGCTTTTATTAACCCTGTTGGAAACATGTGATCATCTTTTCTGGTGTCCCAACTTCACAGCATGATTGTTTATTTCCATTCTTGTGAAATTGGCATTTTCTATAGCAAAGTACAACAACAATGTATTTCCTTAGTCCTTTTCTTACTGAGTTTTTCTAATGGTTTTGTTTGATTTTTGAAGTTGCTGCGGAAATGTCCTTTGTTTCTTGCAAGCTTTCAAGATAACTCTATGGACCTATATATTTTCTGAAAGCTTAGAAAATTTGCCACCTTTTAACAATGGGAAAGTTAATATTTGAGGCATTAGTTGATGAGTAAAAAATTCAGAACCTTATAATATAACCAGAATTAAGAAAAACTAACTTGTTGTCTCAAAATTTACAGGATTATTCAATGGCTTACTAAGAGGCTGTTATTGCATAATCTACGACATATTTACAAACTTCAGTATCGATGAAATTAACAAGATCTGACTCTTGTGTCTTGTTTTATCTAAGAATAACGGCTCATAAAATATGCAAGTCTCTGCCGACTCAAAACACTGTTACTAAGTCGACTAGAAATTATCAAAGGCAGGTAATCTTCAACAAAATGTGTCATCTTTATCGTGTGTGGTAAACCCTGAAACATGGGGCCACACAAAGTCCTACATTGCAATCAGGGCACATAAATGAACATTGCTTCACCCGCCCACCAGTTTTGCAAACTGTGCACTCTTGCTCCTTGGGCCTTCCCTTTTCATTGTAGGGAGCATGTTCAGGGAAGTGCCTCTCAGTAAATCTTGCCTCCAATAGATGGATTCTAGGCCTTCCTTGATCCTTCCATCCATTGAAATTCTCAACAAGTTTGTGTACAAGGTCAACACGAAACACGAAGTTGAGTGCGGGGAGTATGATTCGTGGACTCCAATTCACAAATAAAGGCATTTACAAAACTTCTCTCCAGCAGTAAGAAGAAAATCCTTGGAGGCAATTTTTTGGTTTGTATACCAACAGTAAAATAAGAACACATTTGATAATTACGATCAACTGCCCCCATCTATTTGTTGTACATCTGTACAACCTCCGGACAAGGAACATCTTCAAGGGTACCATTCCTTTTCCTCCGTTTCGCAAACACCTGTTCGTCAGGTTTGGGGGCAGGGCTGAAAGTACCCAAAAAATGAATTGGTTTCCTGTCCTGCCAAGTGAGGGCCACAAGACGACCCTTCACTTGGCACCAGTGCTGCCTTCGTGCTAGTTTGTCCTCTTTCTTTGGAATTATCTCATGAGGTTATCCCTTTGAATGTGCCCTCACAGTTCCACAAGCAAAGGTTTGTCTTTCCAATAAATCTTCCATGAGAGAGACACTAGTGAAAAAATTGTCAAAGAAAATCCAATAGTTTTTGTCATAGAGTTCTTCACACAAAGTGGTCACAACTTTGTGTCCATGCCCCTTACCTTGCACACCATCCTTTCCCCCGTAAATATTGAAATCACACATGCATCCAGACACTGAGTCTGCTCAAACCCAAGCTTATATCCCTCTTTTGATGAGTTTCATTGGCATATATTGCTTTAGAGAGGCTCCTCCCTTTGTAAGCAATCATGGCTTCATCA